CACTATTATTCAAATCAATATTATCATTCTAATCATAATGAAAAGTCATCCAATTAGAATAATTAAATCATTATTCCAATACAAATCATTTAATAGAAATGATGTTTCAATTAAATAATATAATAATTATCCAATTGGCTAGAACAATTATGAATAAATTTTCAGATTAATCAAAAACTTTCAGATTAATCTGAAAATTTTGTTTTCTTTTTTTAACCTTTTTTTATATTTTTTTTATATTTTTTTTTTATTTTAAAGATTTTTACCATTTTTTTTAGAAAAATTCTTATTTTGAAAATATGATAAGTCATTTTAAGTAAAAATTTACTATTTTTCTTATTTTTTATTATTTTTAAATTCTTATTTTAAAAATAAGATAAGTAAATCAGAAACAAGTTTTTGGATAAATTTTTTTTTCTTTTTTTTTATTTTTGTAAGAAAATTCTCATTTGAAAATAAGTAAATCAAAAGCAAGTTTTTAGTGGATTTTTCTTTCTTTTTCTTGTTTTTGTAAAAAAGTTCTTATTTAAAAATAAAATAAATAAATCAGAAGCAAGTTTTTGAACAGATTATTTTTTTCTTATTTTATAAAAAATTTCTCATTTTGAAAATAAGAAAGTAAATCAGAAATGACTTTTAGGTGAATTTTTCCTTCTTTTTTTTTTTTTTAGGAAAATTATCATCTTAAAATTAAGATAAGCAAATTTAGTAGTATCAGTCATAACAAATTCTAGAGTCGACTCAGTCAGCTATTAGAGACTTTTTAGTCGACTCAGCTGTTGACTGAATCGAGACTTTCATTTGAAATTAGCAATCATAATTATCTTAATATTATCAAAAAATTTTAAAATTTAATTAATGTTGCAAAAAGTAAATAATTATAAGTTTCATCGTAAATAATGTTGACAAGGATCCCATTTGACTAAAAGTTTGAAGTTTTATTTAATTAAAAATTTCATATTATTCTGAACTTATATCAAATTTGGAATAATGACTTAGTTATGGCTCAGTCATTGAAAATTCCGAAGTCGACTCGACTTTGTTTTTCTAGAGTCGACTCAGCCATTGACTCTGACTCTGACAGCTGGTACTACTAAGCAAATTTTTTGGTGAAAATTTACCATTTTCCATTTTTTTTATTTTTTAGGAAATTTTTTATCTTGGAATTAAGGTAAGCTAATTGTTGGTGACTTTTTGGATGAAAATTTATCATTTTCATTTTCATTTTTCTTATTTTTTTAGAAATATACAATAATAAGTCAATTGAAGGGTGAATTTTCTTTATTTTACTTTATTTTTCATATATATTGCAAAGTTTTTCTTTTTAAGGAATATAAATTTAACAATTATGTAAAATAATAAAAATATAATTTAATAAATTAAAATAAATTTAAATGGGAACTGGATTACACTCTTATAAGAGTGTAATCCAGTTGTGTTAGACTATTTGTTACCTCGTTACTGTTTTCAGTGCTCTGTGGCCTTTTTATTGCCTTGTAGCTATCTGCTTGTTTTCATTGTTTTGTAGCCTTTTTATTGTCTTGTAGCTATCCGATTGATATTGATATCCTATGCCTGAATGCAGAATTGGGAAATACAGTATTAGTACAGTTAGTACAGTTAGTACATTATAATAATTAATATAAAAATTAGTACAAATACAGTACAAGTACAGTGGTAATTTTATCTAGTACATACAAAATTCCCAATCCTGCCTGAATAAATATCAAATTCTATTTTAGGAGCCATTGGCCTTTCATAAGTGTTTGGATACCTGGTTTTATGTCGAGGGTGCTGGCTTTTTATGCTTAAATAGGTTCTCAATTCTATATTAATGTGATTACCTTTTGTGCTTGCTTGATTGCCTGGTAAAATGCCAAATTGTGATAAAAAATGCGTCATATGAGCAGTGGATTTGCGATTAATTTTTATCAGCTCTATGGTATAACTTTGACTGATCTTTTGGGCATGTGATTTAAGGATCCAATTTGATATCATGATATCATTATGATAGCATCCTGGTAGTGTTATGGAACTCTCCTGAAACTGTCATGAAACTGGCAGAATGCCAGAGAAGTTCTATTAGTTTGCCAGTTTTATGCTAGCTTGTATGCTGAATTATTATATCCAAACTTCTGGCCAAATTTATAAAATAGTATTGGTTGAAAATAAGTGAATTAACACTCACTGTGTCTTACTGCGTTATAGTCATATAATATTGTTCTGATGTCAGAATACCCTTACATAGCTGCTTTCTTCCCAATTGCCATTTCTTGATTGTCGGATAAGACATGAAATGCTGAATTTGCAATCCATTTATTTGCTAAAGATGTGTTGCAATCTATTCATCCACTGTTTGATTGCTGAGGATGAGATACGAAATGCAGAATTGATTCAGAATTTACAGCTTTCATACCCTTTTTTTATGATTTTCCTGAGCCTTTCTGACCTCTTTTCTGTTTATTACCGGTAGTATCTATTTTATTTTCTATATATTATTCTACCCGTAGATATTACCAAATTTATACTTTATTTTTCACCCTTACTTTCCTAGAATCCTTTCTCACATAGTTACTATTCTGGGATACTTTAAGATATTACTGCACTGATTGCTTTTGGGTATTACTTTTGGGTACTATCATATTGACTACTTTTGTATACTACTACTAGCTTAGTATTTTGCTAACAATCATATTTGCTCAAAATAGAAATTTTGAAGATTTGGGATTTTCTATGTAATTTTATATTAACTTCCTTCATATACCTATCATGCTATTTGCATAAAAAAATTTCAAACCTAATCTTTAAGAAATAAATAAAGCAATAACACTCTTTTCAGGTATAGTAGACCTTAATTTTGAGCTGAACAATAATGATCATACATATTTTCAACATTTATTAGAAACTAATAGTAAAGATAATATCACTCTTTTAGGCGCTTATCATCCTGAAGAGATTTTTGATAAATATATTATTCAAGTATCTGGAAAGGGTTTTACAGTTGTTGATCATCCTTCTGATATTTATGGATTATCTGATTCTCATGAATGTATTGATGGTAACCTGCCTCTTCGTCTTGTTCTGGATATTGATGTGAGGCAGAAGTCCAATCCTACTTCCACTAAAAGTACTGGAGATATTTATCTTTTTTTTACTTATGCAATACTAGTAGCCAAGTTTAATTCTACTTCTGAACTAGCAATCTGGATTTGCAATTATTCAGATCAGTTCTTCTGCGCTTATAAAATGCAATATCATAACGGAACTGATACCAAAGCTTTAGAATATGCTCAAAAACGTGAAGGAAGATGCTTAGCTTCGGTTAGTAATAATTTTAACATTTATTTATGAATATGTAAAAAGGGCTATCAATGGGAAGTGCTATATAAAAATATGAAGCAGAATCATAGATAGTGTAATATTTGCCCTAATGTATTGGAAAGAACATGTCAGTAAATATTCGAAGATTTATTAAATAAAAAATTCACACTCTGAAAACCTAAATTTTTAGAAGATTTACACCTAGATGGATATAATGAAGAACTAGGTTTGGCCTTCAAATATAATGGTAACCAACATTACCAAATCGTACCTTTTAAAGAACATATGAATATAGATGTGCAAATTCAACGTGATTGGAAAAAGAAAGTGTTATGTTATCAGAAAGGAATAATCCTTATTACAATCCTTTACTGCATAGTAGACTTAAAAACTTTTATAAGGAGCGTCTTGTACACATTCAGTTATCTCCCAATACCCACCTAGGAGGTAACATAGGCTTTTCCTTAATGTGCATTAATTCTTCTTTTATAAAAGGATGATGAGGTCCTGATTCATATAAATAATACAAAACAGGCATCAGAGGATTCTTTCCAACAACAATTCTTCGAATTTTATGTAGGCTAGGAGACCATATTGGATCTGTTATTCTGTATCGTTCAAAAGGACCATTTTCCTACTCTCTAGTAGCAAGCAAAAATCGGATAGTAGTATCCTTTGGTAGTTATGGTTCATCAATACCTATCGGACGATTATATTTTACTGATAGTTTGGAATACACCTGCTTAAGTTTTGTGGTATTATTAGGACTCATTCCAATCAATCAAGTTGGACTATCATTCATATTACCAACAATTTTTCTTACAAACCACTCACATTCCCTACAGTGCTTGCTAGTAGGCAGGAGAAACTCTATCGAATACTGATTTTTAAAAACTTTTAATTCAAATAATCTAGCATAACAGTCAAACATAGCGAAGCTTGTATGTCTGAAATGTGCTATAATCCTTTAGATTTCAACACTGTGTTCATCTATTAATAAAGTCACGTATCTCATAAACTCAGTGTAGTTATCACATTGTAGTTTTCGAAGCCAGTTGAAGGGCTTATCAGGATTATCATATATACTTTTAAATGCTTCTGTGACTTCTTCACTACTTTTTGATATTAAAAAAACAAAATTTTTAAATCTAGTCACACAGTCTATAACTAATAATACATAGTAAAATATTAGGCTATTGTCTATTAAATCTATATTCACATTATTATATGGTATTTCAATCAAATCACACTAATGTACAATATTCAGTTTTGTAATTCTAGAATAGCTAGTATAAGGTATATGCTTAGGTGAAGAACAAAAGATTTGATATATTGCTTGAGCATTAAGCTATTTTTTTACATCAGTAAATAGGATGGTATGTTCAGTTTTTTTACATGTATCCTATAATCCCTTAATATTTTGGTAAAGGTCTTCAAATTGATAATACAGTTTCTGTAAAGCAAGATTTCAGTAAAGATCATGTGTTTTTTGAGGATTGATATAAATCAAGGGTTCTTTCATTCTGAATCTCTTTTATAATAATGAAAAAAAAGAATAACATTTTACAGATCTCATCTAAGACAGAGAAGAACCTGTGAAGAATATAAAGCTGAGTTGGAGGAGGATAACTATCATCTTTGAGATGTATTACAGACAGAGGTAGAAAATAATCGCCTGAATGAGAAATGGTTTAATCAACTGAAGCGTAAATATAGCCGATGTGAGTAGGAAATCTAAAATCTCAATAAAGACATAGAGCGTCTTAAGAATGCTTCAGAAGAAGAGATAGCAGAGCTAAGATCTGAAATCTCCAGTCTAAAAAGTCAGCTATATCAAGCTAGAAAAGATGTGCGAGATAAAGGAAAATATATTTCTAGTTTAAAAAAGCAGTTAGTAGAATCTGAGAAGCAGGTAGAAAAATTGCGATATCAGATCAGAACTATCTCATCAAGGAAAAATTCACCAGTATAAGGGAATTCTTCTAACCTGTATAATTATGATAATAATATTATCACAATTATAGAGCTAGCAGATGCTATAAATAGTTATATAGATAATAAGGCAATACATATAGATATCTTATCAGACCAAATAAAAAGAACAACAAGATAAATTCGTCAAAAATTTAATGGTTTGTAATAGGATTTAATTCAAGAGCAGAGAAGATGTTATGATATAGAGACTGAATAGGATAATGAAATAATACGAAGAAATCTTGCTGAAGGAGTAGAACAAAGAGTTATTGGTGATCTTTAGTAATATCAAGCTAATACTCAAAACTAGGTAAATAGGATGATATTTATTATAGCAAGAAAACAAACTCACATTGGTAAGTTGTTACGTGAAAAGTTTGTTTTTCAGTTAGTGATTAGGCAAAGGATCAGAATATTTTAAATTTGCAAAAACAAATTTTAGCGTTACAGAATAATTTACTTAATCAACTAAACATGGTAGGAATCCCCAACCATTTTTTAAGTGGGATGATAATATCACAGATTTTCTTGCAAAATTTAGATTATACTAAGGTGTAAATTCAGCAGATAATACAGGCGGTCTACCAACTGGAAGAGAAGTAGCAATAGGGTATTTAAGAGGATGTATGAGTGGAAGAACCCTAGAATGGTTTGATGAGAAAATTACTATAAAGATAAATTGGAAGTAAGGATGGTACTGCAATTGTTTTTTCAAATCTGCAATATTGCGGATTTTTGAATTGAATTACGCATAGTAATCCGC